CATCACAAACATTACTTCATTCTATGTGCTCTGAATTAACAAGAGTGTTGGGGAAAAAAATCTAACTACAGTCTGGCTTCTTATTTATTATTCTTAGTATCATTCTCACCACACTGCAGTAATTGCAGTACAAGACTGTGTCAATCATGCAGTAAAAGTTTGATTTACTTCAGGTCTACAGCCAAATAGAATGTTTTTAGCCTTGAAGCATCAAGTGAAAACATACATGTTTCTTTCCTTAAATATCGTCTTGTTATTTTATGGGACAAATTCAATTTCCAAGTCTATTTCAATGACATACAGACAAGTTGTGGATGGCATTGTACACATACACACAACTAAATCTCCTGGGAACAGTGGGTGCTGTTAGGAGCCCCGGGGTGTACGGAATTTTTTGGGTGATTACTCAACATACCGCACCCAGTGTGGAAGTTGGATTTTGACATTACGCCACCTGCTGCCCCAATTGGATTTATTTTTTATTTTTTTGACTATCTTTTTTTTTTTTTTTTTTTTGAAAGAAAGACATCATTGACACAATAACATTTATGTATGTACAGAGAGGAGAGATGACTTAAACCCAGGACCAAGGTCACATTATCATAATACAACAAATGTGTATAAGACAGTATTCAAATAAACATGAGGCCTGATGAATAATGAACTGTACATGTTATTACATAGTTTTGCCCAAAGTAAAAAATATTTATATATAATATGCAATCTCCATGGTCAAACATTTTAAACTTCATTCATTTTCCAATCTAAATATATATTTTTAATGATTATATATATATTAATATATATTATATATCATCATTTAGAATGTTTTAGATTAAAAAAGGTTTAAAATGTTTGACCATGCCAATTGCATATAAAAGAAGACTGTTAATCTTTTTGAGAAATGTGTGTTGATCAGTGGGAAAAAGCACCAATAGTCTGACTTTGTTAGGGAGAATTTTCTCTCAAAATGAAGCTTGACAGGACAAAAGAGGATGTTTTATTGGTGTCCAAGTCTTGTAGCACTTAGTGGGACACCTCATTATAAAACACTTTCACCAGCTTCACCGCTGTTTGGGACGTCATTTTAAAAGACCAAGAAAAGCGTATCCTAGACACAGACTTTAGATGAATGAAGAAGAATCTTCACTTTGTGTTAACATGCATGACATGACATGATTGTCTGTAATGAGTGTGTAGTAACTGCGGGCTTAAAGTGTTTCTCCATGTTACCATTAGGGCTCTTAGTCTTCCTCAGCCATTTTCTTAAATTGGTGGTTATATTTTATGCGTTAGGTCATATTTAAATATACTAAACTGCTCCTTTTAAAGATGCCAAAAAGCAAATGATACAAATAGTCATATGGCATTGCGTTTTATAAACTGACAATGTGTAAACCACAGAGTAAAATTATGAGTCACAGTGTTGTTTTTTGCACACCTAGAGAAAGTCTTCATTAATTTCAACATATTTCAAGGCTATTTGGATTTAATAGAATTATAATAATAACAAATGGTAGTAATAAGTAATCATTTAGTGTATTTAATCTTACTCTATGAACAAATATATAAGTGCAATAGCCAAATTTTAGTAATGAAAGCGTCAAAATGAACACATTAATCACTCCTTCTTTTTCTATCCTCCAGTTAATGTTCTATAAATCACCTCAGTACTTTTGCTTATCAAGCTCAGCACTAACCCCCGTGTGAGTGTCTAAGCATTATACTGTACTCACAGGTTTGTGTGTGTGCTTGTGTGGGCAATGTTTTTGTCAGTGTGTTTGTGCATTTAGTATGCATGTGTGTGGGCAGGTGATTTTGTGCAGCGTGGTTTGTATGTGAGGCTGACTGCAGCGTTAACACAAGGGTGTTGGAGGTCAGTGGCGTCTGACTCGTGACTCTGATCATTACAGAGCTGCCCCGGGGTCTGTATGAATGTCAGGGCTGTTATCTGATACTTCCAGGCTGCTATTTCAGCAGGGCAAATGCACTTATTCACACATCTGTATGCAATCTGTCACGAGAAGAGTAATTTCAAACACAACGTTAGTGTTTTTAATGTCACTCATTTGTTGAGGTTAGTACTTTACTTACATTGCAGATAGAACTCATCGCTCCAATTATACTTTTTAAAAAAAGTACTGTGTATGTGTTAGCAGTTGTACATCGAGTATCCCCTTCACATCCATATCATGCCATCTTTTCATTTGCATCTTGGCCCATGGGAAGTGTTCCACTTGTGGGCTACACTAAGAATAGAATGAGAGATGGAAATGTTTTACAGTATGTTATATTTTGTGTTCTGACCAGAGGCAGTTTGTTTGTCTGTGAATATGATCTCTTGGGATTTGAAAACTGCTGCTTAGCAGTGAAGGTCATTTTGGCCTCATGAAGAATTGTTTTTATATAATAGCGATAATCGTTAATCATTAACTAAATTTAATTTATGACCATGTGAGTCCACGCTTTTTTGGATTTAAATGACCGGGCTAGAGTGATCTACCTAAAACAGAAAACATTAAATATATATAAGGTCATATAAACAGAACATGCTTTATACATACATTATTTGTTGGTGAACTTTAAATTAAATGCATATAGCTAATTCTTAGAGTATATGGTCACTACTGCACACTATTGATTTATATTATATATACTACTTATTTGGCACCCCTGCTGTAGAGACACTTTGTTTTCTATCCTAATAGTCTTATAATGCTAATAATATGCTAATAATGAATACAATGCCTACCCTGCTGTGTGTGAGGCTGGCACTAGCTGGACATCTGACCTGAAGTTGAAGCCTCCATGAACACATGCTGGGCATTTGGTATTTAAGGCTTAAGGTGCTTTAATGAAACAAAACCTTTTTCCTGCAGTGTATGCAAATAACAACATTTGCATCAAATGTGTATGAGCAGGTGGAATAGGATAAACTGTGCACATCACTCTGCTTATGTTTTACGATTTATTAAAACTTTTAATTTGATTAATTTCACAAATAAATACACTTTGGGATCCTAACTTAACCACAAATCCAGCAGGAAAACATTGAAGTTAATGCTCTTAGAATGATAAGTATGATAAGACTGCAATAAACAGATTTCAGGCACGTCTAACTCCGTCCTAAATAAAACATGCACACTTTTAATCTTTATTAATTTATTGTTTGTTTTTTTTGCATTTTTCCAGTTTTACCTGGACTGCAGGGAGAAACAGCAATATCAACACATAGAAAAAGTATATTTACATTTATATTTTAGAACCAATAAAAAAAGGACACAGCCAGTATAGGTATATAAAAAGGCCTTTGAATTGAAAATGCATCTATAACTTTATTTTTCAGCAAAAGGTAAAATATTAGATTTCACTGAACAGGTTAATGCCAAAGTTTGCCTTACATAAAAACACTAAATTATAAACCTACAGATTTGACATTTTATGGCTCTTTAAAGTGACTGTGCTAGGTTTTTCCTGGGAACAGGGTTTTAATATAAGAACTTCATGTTATTTTCAACATTTGTTTCTCGTTTGGCACAGTGTGACCTTTTAAATAAAAGGTTATTTTCTTTGTATTATGAAGATGAAAAAAAAAAATCATCACCTCAGCTCTTCTGCTTTATTGCCACAGCCCAAGTGTCCAATCCCATATCCTGTCAAATAAAACACAGGTGACTGCAGCAGGGACGGTTCTGCTGCTAATAACAGGGACATTAAAACTGGTCTGGAGTCTGTCTGGACACGTGTGCTTTGGTCTGAAATGGTGTTGGAGTTCAGCAGCTACTTACAAACAAACTCAACTTCATAGAAATATTGATTATGTTAAATTTTCCCATAGAACTAAATCATATCGCTCTGCTCAGACTCACCCCCCGCTCCTCTTTACCTTACGTTACCTTTTTCTGGCATTTCCTAAATTCTAGTAATAACTATCACCCACTGCCTTCCACCCACTGCCCTGCCACTAACTGCTGCTGTCTGAGGAGCCAGACTGCATTGTCCCATTTGTTATTATTAGGCCACAAATCACCAGTGTAATTGCCGTCAGCCAGCCAAGTGTCAGTAAATCTTAAATCTTTATACCCCCTCTGATGGCACAGGTGTATCTGGGAGACACAGATATTATGAAACTAATCTGGGATATACAACCTGTTAGTCTTCCAGCCCCCAACACAGTTAATATGAGAGCTCGTCCAGAAGGTTGGGTATTTGTTTAAGCAGGATTTTACTGTTTCTCACTAAAATTATACGGAATGTCATAGATTATTAGACCTGCCAGTGTTAGCTCTAATGTGTCAGCATCTGGAAATCTTAAGAAAAAACAGCAGTGCCAGTATTGCAGTGAGTTGTGTTTTGTATTTTTACACCTTTGTCTCAAAAACAAAAATGTGATGTAACTTCGTAAGTTGGAAAGCACATACTCTACATAAGTACCTTTGCCGCTCAACTACATTAACATAGTGGTAACATCATAATTAAGGACATAAAAACATTTTTTAATCAAGTTTATAGGATTGATTCTTTTAATGAAACTCAAATCAAAACATAAAAAGCAGTTGTATCAGTATCATGTCTGTAGCTGTACTACAAAAAGCTAAAGTTTTTTGGTTGTTTTTTTTTTTTTTTTACCTTCGTCATCACCCATGCCTTTCACTGATCTGTGGTTCAGCCTGAAACCTACGTAGCCGGAGTCTACGAGTCAAAGAGGAATAATAAACTTTCATTCTAATAATGTTGGCAGTGTTTTATAGATAATAGCTGCTGGGCTGTAAACCTTGGAGAGACACACAGTCCTTAATGCAAAGCTCGTATAAACTTAAAGGATCACTGAAAATTTATGAATATAGATGCTGCCTGCAAGTATTCAGGACATGTTGTAATCAGCGTCCACATGTCTGCATCATCCTCAGGCAGAGACTCCACCTGTTCATCTTTTACATATTGTTCAGACTATTAATAACCTTGTCTCCCTCCCTCCCTCTCTCTGTGTCGTTAATCAGGGACGCTGCACGCGTGAAAACTGCAAATACCTCCACCCACCTGCTCACCTGAAGACCCAGCTTGAGATCAACGGTCGAAACAACCTGATCCAGCAGAAGACAGCCGCCGCTATGTTGGCTCAGCAGATGCAGTTCATGATCCCAGGCACCACCATGCAACCTGTGGTTAGTTCTGTTGTGGTAATTGACTGGCAGGAGCTTAAATGCTTCGCTGTTTTCGTTCTGTCATGTTTTTACAATCTTGATTTGATCAGAGTCTCTTCCACTTAATCCCAGTACAGTGTACAGTAATCACTCCAAGAGTCACAGCTCTGGCATAGTCTTTAACTTTGTAGTTGTATGCGGTAGTAACACAGTCAGGGCTTTGACAAGATTGTCACCGTTGACAAAAACAATCCTAAAAACGTGGCTGCCAGTCGGCTCATTAACCTCCCCCTTCCATCACAGGGTGCAATTAAAACAACCATTATACTTCTTTCTTTCCTGAGTATTAATATTGAGTATTAATACTGCAGGTACAGCAAAAATAGGTTTAGGATTTAGTTATATGCGGGGTTTTTTTTTTCGATGTTCCAAAATAAAATCCTATTTAAGAAAAATATCCCCCTGAGAATGGTCAGTCAACAACTGATCAGTTAATATTGGTGGCTAGCTAATTTTAGCACTATAGCATTGTTAATTAACCACTGCCTTGCTTCTTAAATACTAATGTTATTAATTAATGCTGTTGTCTGACTAAGGTGTTGAAATGAATCATTTAAATTTATATCAGTGATACAAATCTATAGCAAACAGCAGATATAAACAAGCAGCTCTTGTGTTCTTCCAAGCTCAACGTGACAGTTTTCTTCATGGACTTTTGTGTATACCACAGTGTGCTCTAGACTCCAGTATGTTTCTGTGACCCTCCACACCCCCACCCCACCCCACCCCAATCCCCTGCAGCTGTGTTTCTGATCCATATTCACCAAGATAACACTGTGAAGTCAGACACGGTGCATGAATACATGGTCCTAATGGGCATTTATCTGTCAACAAGTCTGTTCTAAGAACAGCCTTAAGGAAGACTTAATGTTTGTTCGCACTTCAGTCCCTCACATGCCCTTGAGCAAAGCTCAGAAATCTTCAGCGGCGCTCTGCCGTTTGCTCTGCAGTCAGGGTTGATTTCCAGGTGTAAACATGTTTAACTGCATCTGTGAGAGGAATAGAAGGAGTCGCTGAGAAAGAACATGTCTGCTCAGCACCGTGCACTCCTTTATATGGAGAATGAAAACATATTTTCTTTACACTCTCCTTTTTCTTTCTTCTTTCCTTGTCTCTTGATTTTGTCTTCACTTTTATTTCATTTTGTTTGCCTTTTTTCATTTTGTTTCTTCTTTGTTTTTTGTTCTTTTTTTTTTATTTCAATCAACAAGCTTACCTGTTTCCAGCCATCAAATCCAATTTCTCTTTAAATTAAAATAATCTAAGATAAACAGCCCACTTAACCATTTTTCCTAAACAGTAAACATTCTTTTTTTTCCACAGCAAGCATTTCAGGTGGGCCACGGCCTGGGCTCTAGCACTGGTTTAAGCTACACACCCTACCTAACCCCCATGTCACACAGCATGGGCCTGATGCCTGCGGACATCCTGCCCAGCACACCCGTCATAGTCCCGGGCAGCCCACCTGTCTCGGTGACCGCTGGCTCTTCTAACAGCCAGAAACTGCTGCGTACGGACAAACTGGAGGTGACCAACGCACACACACACACACACACACACACACACACACACACCACTCGCCCTCTATGTATTTGTGTCACAGACAAGACGAGCCGAACACCTAATCACCACTAATGTTCTGTGTGAGATTGTGTAGTACGAGTGCAGTGACATCTGTCGTAACAGAATAGATGTGTGCAGCATCATTTAAAAGGCTGAAACATTTGCCGGAGTCAAAGGAAGAAGGAAGCCTCACATGTTTCTGCTTTTTTTTAATTATGTAACAAATGCAACAAAGCAATAACAGACTTAACCTTCACATATACACCAAGAAATGAAACAATTTTTTATCTCCACGGCCTTCATTTGTCACTATTAAGTTTGTTTGCTTGCTTTTCTGTGATAACCTCACAGTCAGTTTAAACACTTCCACTCTAAAGAAAGTTGGATTAAAATAGAATTACAACAGTGTGTCTTAAACTGTTTCTTACTTAGATGTTAAACAGTGCATACACACACCTCTACTAGCTAATCTCCAGCTGAATTTTACTACAAGGTCCAGGACTGCCTTTAATCATTACAATTCTCTATCTAATAATTAATCAGTTAATCAAATTTTCCATAAAATGCAAAACTTTCCTATACCATAAACTTCAAAAAAGCTACAGACACCAGAGTCAAGAGAATTAACCGTTAATGAGTAGCACAGAAACCAGAAGAGAGTCAAACTGCAGCCTTGCGTTCTCACCTAGATAATATCTGAAATGATGTGCAGTAGCCTCATTACTGTAGAAGTTTGACCAGAAAGAATCCTTTTTTCATCTATATTTTAAAAAGATAAACATAAACCTGCCGCAGAACTGGATGTGGTGCGTAGGTGTGGACATGTGTATGTTTTTCTTTGCCCGCGATATTACTTAGCAACTGAATGAAAGTGGTCCCTTGGAGACACATGTACTCCCACACCGGACAGACACTGTGTGTGTGTGTGTCTCCCTTTAATTTTATAAAGTTTAACTCAATAACCCTGAATCATTAACTTCTGTCTAATTTTATCTGTCACATGCAAATGTACATTTACATTTGTTTTAATAATACGTACTGCTGGGGACTAGACTGTGTCATAGGCAGCAGAATAAAATAAAAATGAAAATAGATATAGTATAGTATACAGTATATATAATATATAGTATAGTATAGATATAGTAAGAGGAGAAGGCTAGCTTTGTACAAGGCTATCAACAGCATATAGAATGTAAAATGAATATGTAGCAAGAAGAATGTATATCAGAAAAATAATAACAAAAACAGTAATAATAACAACAACTATTATATTTTATAAAGGTACAATTTTAACAATTTACTTTAAACAAAATATTGCGATATATATATCGGCGTAAAGTTGTTTTCTTACACCCCTAGGCATAAGTCACTTTTACCAGTGCTATTTCACATAACTGATTTAGAATGGCGATATCCAAAAGGCTGTGTACATGTGTATATATGTGAGGCCTGTATATGTACTTGTATGAACGTGGTATCACATTTACTTTCATTCTCCAATCAAGTGCCAACCTCTATATTTGTGTGTTCATCTCCGTCTGCTTCGTTGCTCATACCTTCAGGTTTGTCGTGAGTTCCAGCGGGGCAATTGCGCCCGTGGTGAGACTGACTGTCGCTTTGCTCACCCGAGCGACAACCCCATGATCGACACCAGCGACAACACCGTCACCGTGTGCATGGACTACATCAAGAGCCGCTGCTCCCGTGAGAAGTGCAAGTACTTCCACCCACCGGCCCACCTGCAGGCCAAGATTAAGGCCACACAACATCAAGCCAACCAGACAGCTGTGGCAGCGCAAGCCGCCGCCACGGCTGCAGCCATGGTGAGTGAACAGCATCTCACACACACACACACACACACACACTCTATTGTGTGTACATAGTGTTGTGTCTGTGTGTACGTAGCTATCGATTAGGAAACTAGTCTAGTCTAAACTAATTATTTCTGAAAATCTTTCCTTTCAATGAAAAATAAGGAATTTCACTATGTAGCAAACAGAAGTGGTTATTGTTGTTCATTCTGAGCAACTATGTCAAATATTTTAATTTGTGTCTTAAGTATTTAAACCCCCTCCCCTCAAATGTCATAAAAAGATACATCCGTAAGTTGGTCCTGAGTAATTACTATCCATCATTTTAATACATAGAAATACAAGATACAATTAAAATATTCTTAAAATGTCACAAACTCTTTTTTTGTTGGCTCTTAATTGACCCTCCTTGACCTTCGTTATTCTTTTTGCTGGCAGCTACATTTCCACTGAGCATAAACGCCCTGTTCACACACATTTCAGGTTGTACAACACTCCTCATACTTGTACAATACTCTCCATACTCTTCTACTCACTTCAAAAGACGACGTATCCCTTGATAATTACATCCTGGGTTTATAAAATGTAGATCCCTGCTTTATTACTGTAAAGCATATGGGATCTTTTTCTGCTGATGTGAGTCACTTAGCAAAAGAGCGAGTTTTGAAGAATAGACTGCGTTTCAGTGAAACCTAATCGCATCAGTGCAGCGCTGCAAGAACAGTCTGCTGCTGTATCATTGCAGCAGGCTTTTTATTTCCAAACGTCCTTGGTTCTTAGAGAGACAATGTGCTGGCTCACCCTTCCATTCCATTTCCACCACCCTCCCAAAACACACACACAAGCATGCATGCGCGCACACTCTCAATGATGAATGCAGCTCTCTGCAGATCAGCGCAAATTAAATCAGGGATGGATGAGAATGTAGCATCACTGTAGGGTTGGAGCTGGCGTAGGGTTAACCTTCTCAGCCTGTCTTGCAAGACATTAATATTCCCACCATCTTTGAGAAGTAAAGAGACAGATGCTTGTACAGGTAGCTGTACAGTAAAAAAAAATAGTTAAAAACTGAATTCAGTGTGAGTGGCATTCTTTCCTCAGGGCTATTCTCACTTTATTTCTCCTATAGCTGCTGATCTCCTGCTAGCCCTGTACTGCACCAGTGTTGCCTTTGTGTCCTGGCCATGCTTTAGGCATCACTTTTTTGGCTTTCTTCGTTGGCTGGCTCTATTGCTGCTTTACTCAACTCATTGTTTTTCATCCATATGGTTAAAGTCTGTCCATATCTGCATTTTAACTGAAAACTGACCAGTCACAAACCAATCAGCAGGCTCAAATTCTTGCATGTGCTCCAGGAGAGTGTAACACACACTCTCTCTGCCTTGCATTAGCTTTCCCGTTCACTATTGATTCCAGATAGATAGATTTTATTTAACCTTCAGTCATGATAGAGTCAATGCCAATCTGTGATTTGAGATTTATATTCTTTACATTTTGGTTTAAAGAAAAAGTGAGTGAGTATATGCTGAGAACTGGTCAGCACAGTTCTTACAATCACCTCACCCGAGAAACCGAGAAACTAAAAGGAGGTGTCAATAAAGATTTAGCTCCTGTTTTGTTTTTAGCTCCACACTCCCCCCTTCGCCTCCTTGGTGGCTCATATTTCCCACTTTATCAACTTTACGACCCCATTTCCAATTTACCATGCAATGTTACAGGCTGTGTTAAAGCTGAGGTGGGTCAACTTCGGGCTTGTTTAGTCAGCGTCTTCAACCAATTTTCTTTTAGCTCTTAGCCTGAAGCGGCAGAACTTTTATTGAACCATAAAAAGCCCTCTTGCTGCTCAGTTGCAAACAGGTAATATCATTACCCATAATTCACAGTTTTTTAATCATAGGTAAAGTGAACTGCAGACAAGGTTACATGTGAACTAATGGAGATACAGTCAGACACTGCTGTCACTGGGATGATTGTGTTCTCTGACCTTCTCCCTCATATCAGGTCAAATGAAAGTCACCTTTGGGGTTTTTTCCTGGAATCCTTCGTCATTTGTTCAGTTTAAATAAAGTGTGAAAACTCTGCTAAATTCTTTAAACTGCATTTTTGACTAAAAACCATGAACACTACTGCACAAGTAGCAGGAGGCATGTGCATCTCATCACATCTATCTTCATACTGTATGTTTGTTCTGCTTTCAGCAGTCACATCACATTCACATTCAGAATTGTCTTTTATAACATCACTAAAATATTACTTCATAAATTATATCACCTTCAAACTCGCCATAGTAACTTACATTACAATACTTTTCTTTAATGGATGTCATGCCTATGTTGCATTCCCCAGTGTCCTCGGGTCTAAGCATACAGTAGACCCAGCATTCACGCTATTACATATGTAGCCTCTCGAAGTGCTCAAAATATAATTGCAAATGCCTTGCAACATGATCACAGTCACAACTATGCATGTTTAAGGCATTTTCACAGTGCAGCACAACTTAAATAAGAAAAGAACCTTCAAAAGGAGCCAGCAGTATGTGACTGTGACTATGGCTGTTTGATGTTGATATGGCAATAAATGTGGTATTTTGGAGATAAGAAAAAATAAGATATTTTTGTCATTCAAAAAAAGTCTTATTTTATTTGACTTGTTCCTTAGTGTTTTTGCCAGATTAAACAGACTTAAATGGCATATTTGGACTCAACAGATTTTTTATGAATTATAAGGATATGTATAAGTTATGTACACTATATTATGGTGTCTTAACATGCTACAATAACTGGAGCATGTGCAAAATTTGCATAGCATTAGTAAAGATATTTTGTGACAGGTGAAAAGTATGGTTTAATTTGTCTCTTAATTTTGCTTTGTGGTCTTAGTGTCTGGTACTTAGTTTTAAACCTGGGTAAACCTATAATTTTTAATTTAACAACCTGAAAAGATGACACTACAAACTATTAACATACAGTATTAAAAAACAAATATCTTGACAAAAACGCTAGAGATTATTTGTGACTGTTTTCATTTTATTCCTCACTCTGAGTATTAGTTAAAAGCAGCAGCAGCTAGCGTGACATTACTAGCTGCTTCAAAGTGTAGCTTTTCTCACAGTTGCTATACTTTAAATGTGACCATAAATGCGTCCAGATGTTGCTGCATGCAGTAAAAAGACAGATCCTGGAGAGAAGCTACTGCGTGTGAGTGTCCTACTTACAAAATTGCAGGTGTATTTATAGTCTGGATCGTTTGTATTTTCTTTACTATATTTTTCCTCAGGTACTGTAGTTTTTTTATATGTTGTTTTAGTGATGGTTATAAGTCATATGCTTTTCTCCCTAGTGTAAAAATACACATCAAACAGTAGAATCTTGCTTTTTCTTAACCAAAAGTGACTGTAGATGCTTCTGTTTGCTTTTGTACTAATTCAGAAAGTAGCCATGTCTTTTCACACAGTAAACAAAACAGTTTTTTTGTTTATGTGCATGCCTATTGTTTTGTATGTGGTATACTTGCATTCAGATTATTTTTTGTTTTTTGTTTTTTCCCCTTCTCACCTATCCACAATGCAATGCTGTTCCCCCATGACGCACCTCTGCTTGCTGTTACCTGTATGTTAATACGCTTGAATCCCATTGGCCCGCTGCCATCATGTGCTCGCTGCCTGCTAATTAAAGACTCAGTCGACTGCCAAAGCAATGAAGCGACCCCTCGAGGCAACTGTAGACCTGGTACTTGGATCTTTCACCTTTTGCTTTGCATGTAGCTTCTTTTTAATGTACTGTAGCCACTCACAGAGTTTAAGTTTGACTCGTTTGTTTTTGTAAATCACTTTGTAGCATAAATGTCTTGGTAATCGCAGCATTTTCTAACTATTTAGAATATGATTTTAAAGTAAATATAGTTATTTTTTGTAATGTGTTTGATTTTGTTTTTTGCTATGTTTTAGTCTGTTGTCATTGTCCATGTAATAGTTACTGCAGTTTTCCATTTTTGCCTTATTGTGCTGTGCATAGACAAATAACCAATTTAGGAAATATTAATGCGAACTGAGGAAAAGAATCCAGGTCCAATCCTCTGTACTTTTGTCATGTCTGTTTTTTCCCATGGTCAGGCGTTCCCACACGGTGTCCTTCAGCCCCTACCAAAGAGACCAGCACTTGAGAAGAGCAACGGTGGCAGCTCCCTGTTCAGCCCCAGTGTTTTGCACTACCAGCAGGCTCTGGCCAATACACAGTTCCAGCAGCCGGCATTTTTCCCCACAGGTAAGAGCATCTCGCCCACAGTTTAAGATGAAAACTTTACATACCCTATATATGTGGATGATACTCTGATTATATTATAAAAGTATATATCGGCATGGCCCAGGGGCAAGAAGCTGCTGCACTAACTTTGTTTGGTCCCAACAAAAGAAGGGCATCTTTGCTTTACATTTGGCTGAAATGTTGCCCACTGTTTGTCATACTTGGATTGCGCAGGTATACCAGAAAGGTTATGTAATTGGTTGACTTTTGGTGGCTACTACTCAACCAAACTGAAACCAAAGTTGGCAACTTCATTCCAAAATAAATGGGATTGAAGTAAACAGATTCACTCTGTTGGTTCTTGCTCTGTTTGCATTCAGCTGATATGGCTGTGTGCTCTGAATTAGGACACAGCCAGAATGAAAGACGGCCTCTTTTGTTAAAAGAATTAGGCCATTACTATTTCTGATCAAATATTAAGTGAAATGCATTTGTATTTCAGTAGTACATCATACAGTAATACACTGTACATGTATATATTTACTCACTCCCTTCTTGCAGCCTCTGTTCTTTTTGGCTATTTAAAGCAAATGTAGGGAACCAAATTCTCATTCTCAACAATACTGCTACAGCCTGGCTGCCACACAGAACGAAGTATAGCTGTCCACAGTCTTGCTGCTCAGTCGCAGTTTACCACACATATGTTTTCTTTAAAATAAAATGGTCTGCCTTATGCAGTTTTAATCCTCTGATCAGTAGTAAATGTGTACTACCGCCTTGAACTTTTGCACAACACTGTGAGTTACACCTACGGCCCAGGCAAGGATCTATTGGCTCAAACTCCCTTGGTCCAAATAAACTCTTTCACTTTGTGGCAGTTCAATCCATTAAAGGTCTGTTTCCCTATTCTGCCTGTTTTTTCTTAGATCATAAGCCTTTTGTGCTCAAGCAGCGATAGTAGTTGGAGTTTCTTCAGATCAAATGCTATGCTAAGTGAAAAAACTGCAGCTAAAGAGCACTACCAACATTCATGAGTCATTTCTGACAGGACTCGTGATGCTGGCTTCTCTGTAAACATGCTGTATTTGTTTCCCTGCTGTGTGAAATGTCTGTCAGGCCCTCTCCTTGTGTGTGTGTTTTTCTCTGTGTGTGTGTTGAGCTTCAGTTGAGGAGAAGTCTAATGTTATCTTGTAGTGTAGAGCAGAGGGGAAAAACAAAACCGATGTCTCATGAGAGGATAAAATGTTTACTGTAATAAATAAAGCGTTGTGATGCATATCCCGGCCCCCAACATCCATCATTCCCATTGTACTCACACCTGGAGCAGCACCTGTGCACAGTCCTACACTAACCCTGCATGACGCTACAGTCTGCCTCTGCTCCTTATATCTCCTTCTCTTTTATGGTCTTATCATTTTAGTCTGTATATTATCCTCCTAGTTATTCACATTCTGTTTGATTTCACACATATATATGTATAACACATTGTCACAGTTTAGTTTTTATAGCATAAACATTGCCATTTATACCTCATTTCCAAATTAATACAATACCCAACTCCATATTATATTATAATAGTTACAAGTTTATTTTATATAAGTTTATTTGTGAATTCAATATATTAATTGCTGCGTACTTTTGATTGATATACTTGACTGATTTTCTGATTCGTGATGTACAAGACATGTTCAGTAGGAGACAGATCTAGATTGCAGTTGTAACAGGACACAATGTTGGAATTAGTGCAAAATGAAGCCTGACATTTCCACAAAAGCAAAGCTGTTGTGACAGCTTCTCTTATATAATTTGATCTCAGTCTTGTTAATCCAGACTGCTTTCACAAAGAGAAACAACAAAGAATGTAAAATGCAACAGTGAAGGCGACACTGATTGGATACGTCATGGGATCAGAAGTCTGGTTTTGGAAGTCTTTGGAAGTTACATCAAGACAACGATGACATAGATTTTAGAAAAAAAAACTTCAATACAAACCAGTTTACCTTTGAACAACACACATCCAATCTGCTCCAGGCTCTGTCCATTTCTTATAAACGGTCTTGTGTTTAAGCTGTAATCAGAACCTACAGCTAACGTTCACACTAACGCCACACTAATAAGAAGAGGTTTCCGTTGTGCTTGATCCCGTTTGCTGCGTCTGTCACTGGCTGAGAGCAAAGCTGTAACAGAAGCATCAGAGATTTGTTTTTGTCTTGTATGAAAATAACCGTGTTATTCTCCTCCTAAATTAACCTGATTCTTTCCTCCCCCTCTCTCTTTCTTTCTTTCTCTCTCTCTCTCTCTCTCTCTCTCTTTCTCTCTTTCTCTCTTTCTCTCTTTCTGCATGAACACAACAGGGTCAGTCTTGTGCATGACTCCTGCTAGCAGTCTTGGTAGGTCCCGACCTTCGCTATGTACACTGTAGATGAGTGTGTGTATGTGTGTGTGTAGGGGCTGGGGTGGGATACACAGGTGAGACAAAAGGGTAAATTGCATCACTGCACTGCCTTTGGTGGTGATGAAATTATATATAAAAAAAGGATTCTGTGTTTTTTCCATGTACCCTTTTCGTAGGCCTTTGTGTCACCTGTTCCCCTTTCCTCACTGACTGTCTTTTTTATTTTTGATTAAAAAGCAGTAGAGTAGCTAGAGTCTGTTTGCCATGCTGTGTGTTGACTGGATTTTTTAATAAGTTTTCCCAGGGAAAATGTGCTCCTGTTTCTATAGGAAAAATGAGCTGGGGAAGCAAAAAATCCACAGTCCATCAGCGCTGCAGGTTTCCTGGCTTTGCCGTTGATCTTGGCAGATAATGTGCATCAAAATATAAAAATATCATTCAGTCTTATTCATAGACTGCAGTAAGTTATTTTAGGGCTGTGTAACCTGCAAATATATCCCAGAATTTTGTATTTGTTAAATTGACTCCTAAGAAAATGTGAGGTTTTCAGTTTGAATCTCCAGTGCTTTAAGTGAAGACAACAAGTCTGGACACCTGCAAATCTGCTGGACTGAGTCCCGTTTCCCTCAAACTTCTCTGGGAAAAACAGCAACTGATTTTCTGTATAAAAATTTCCTCATACTTGTGATTGTAATCAGCTTCTCTCCTCTTGTTTTCTGTTATGTTTCCCTCCCACGCTCTCTTTTTTCTGTCTTACTTCTGTCTTTTTTGTTTGTTTGTTTTTCTCTTTGCTTTGCATTGTGAATGGTTGCATGCCATCTGCTGGTGTTAATCCTAACGATGGCTTGCTGGCTCTCTAAAACATCTACCACCAACTTGACCATCACCCACAACAACAAATACACAAACTCATCACACCTGTTGCAATAATCACCATATTGCTCCACCTACTCCTACTCTCCACTGCTGCCACCACCACCTTTTCCCTCCTCCTATCCTCTTCCCCTTTTTCCCCAAACTCCTCCCTCAAACAAAGTCCCAATGATGTACAGTGCTACGCCTGCTACTGTCTCTGCAGCAACTACTCGCGCCACAAGTGTCCCCTACGCAGCAACAGCACCAGCCAATCAGGTTTGCTCCTTTTAAAGCTTTCTTTCATCAGTCCCTGGAGCTCTGAATAAGTGCTGCCTCTTCATTAGGCTTCTATACCACACCTAGCCCACACCTGGTACTCTACCATCCATGCTTTTGGATGCACTGCAAAAGTGCACCATGACGTGACACCTTCCGAAATGACCAGCAGAGGATGCTAATGTCACCACAGAGAAGCATGTTTTCTTGAAAATTAGCATCACAGCGCGCACTTCTTCAGAGCTTCCACATTTGCAAAGTAGTATTTGTGTTGTGTTGCATTACTTTCTGTTTGTTTATTTTTCTCGGTTTTGTTTTGTTTTGCATGTTCTGTTTCGAGGTTTATTTTTCCACTTCTCTTGTTGTCGTCCAAAACAAGCCTCTCCATCTGCACCACGGGCCGCCGCTAATAAGCTGTACGCAAATGCGCATCCGAGCAAACACATGCACACCATCTCAGCAGCTGATTTCTGTTTTTGCTCTGCTCAGTTTGAGCTTTGTATTTTTATGGTTGTCGCCAGAAAATTGTTTTTTGAAGAAGTTTGAAGTTTTTTTTATAAAAATGTCCCCCTTTTTTTGTTTGTATAAAAACAGTGCTGTGGCAGAGTAGTAACAAGAGCCAGAGAAGCTAGGTCAGGTTTGAGGGCCAGGTTCACGCATGTGTGCCCTATTTAAAAGTGGAGCAATTTTAGGACAATGCCAGCGTATCAGGCTTCTGCAGCTGGACGCCACACAAACAGAATTACTTTATAAATACATCTGCCATCATGTGGTAGTTTGGTAGGTGTCTATTTTGGGTGATGATGGACGTATACTGAAAAGAAATCAGTTTTCTTTGTTGAGAAGTTGTTTCAAGGGACTTAAATTTGTGTTTCATTTTTGTGTTCCTGGTGGCAGGCATGTTTTCAATGACTCTCAAAAATATGTCAATACCGCATTCTCTAAAAGGACGTTTCTTTCAATTGTGCCTTTAAAAATGAAAAAAAAAAAACTTTTTCATTAAGTCTGAAATGAAAATATCAAAGAACGGCCTTTAGGAATTAGGAATGACTATCTCTGGCAACAGCACCTCCTTCTTTATTGCTCCTCCCTGGCCAATAATATGAGCACTTCCTGTGAGTCACAGTCTCTTCCTGTAATTGACATGCAGCAGCAGTAGCAGCAGGAAGCAGGGCCGCTCTTTAAAGATGCATGTGGGATCGGCAGCATCAGACCCAGTGACGTCAGTTCTCACTGTCTGATTCAGCCCCCCCCCCTCCACCACCACCACCACCACCACTACCAGCATCTGTGTGTTTTTCTCCCCCAAGGACCTACGTTAAATCACCCCGCCCCCCACTTAAGATTCTGTTAACACCTATAATCACAGCTGCGTGCGTGTCTGTCCTGTGATTTATGACCAAACACTGAAATGCTTTTTTGAAAGATTTAAACTGGCTAAGAAACCGAAAACTCTGCTCCCGAGGTGAGAATACGGAAGAAAGATCCATGCCGTAGGTCAGGGATCGGCAACCTTTGACACTAAAAGAGCCATTTTAACATTTGATCTGGAAATACAATCAAGAGCTGCATATTTTGTCATCACTTGTGATATATGCACTGCTGCTAGAGGATTTAACACCAGATCTTGAAGAAGACAGTGAAGTTATGTTGTATCGTTAACCACAAGATAAAGAACAAGTGTGACATGTAAAATGGCTCAATCCTGATGTAAAAACTCTGATAGTCACAGGTAGTTTCCCGTCTGCTGACACTGCAGGGTCCACTGCTGTCCACTGAATATACTGGCTGATTGGATGTGTTAGTCATGAATTTTTGTTGTTTGAAGAGCACAGTCCGCGGTAATTTGGACCATTCACAAAACGTTAACTCTCCCTCGTAGAGCTGATACACACAGGCTGAAAACCCAGAATACAAGATATATTGTCTTTTGCATTAGCAGCGCGTTGTCTGTAAGCAGCAGAAAACCACAGTTTTTGAGAGTACAGGTCTGTGTAGACCTTTTTCATACACCACCATTTTTTTGTTTGTTTGTTTGTTTGTTTGTTTTTTAAGACATGCTGTTGGTTGGTGTGTCTCTGGTTGAAAACAGTTACAGACTTTAAATTGCTTATTGAACCAGTCATGGGAGTTTCATTAATAAACAGACTGAGTGAATGATACAACTCTTGTCACCGACTTGTAATCAGAATGTAATCAGAAACCTCGAGTATGTCCGGGACAGGAATGTCCAGACAAGTTCACTGTCTGGTCACCATGTGATTCACTGAAATGTCACTCTGATGCGACGAGCAGGAACCAATCACGTCTCTCCATTGTACAGCATCATTTAACAATCCGTCTGCCTATGTCATTGCGTCTAAATGTAATCGCAAAGCAACACTACCATCTACTGTTCGAATTTGGTATTACATCACCCAGAGGCTGCAGTTGTTTGTTGTAGTTTCAGTCCAATCTGGTTTTTCAGCCCATTAGTCCCTGAGAGAATCTTTTCACCACCTCAGATTTCTGGCCATTAAACCGTTTCCACTGTTTGCTGCTATTTGTGACCACAGTATTAATGTCATGGACGTTGTCAGAGGCTGTCAGGACATTAGCAACTGGACTGCCTTGGTTTGTCCAGAAACTTAAGTTATTCCATTCTGAAAACTCAGTTACAGTGGTAACTGTCTTCTCTTTAAAAAATGTTCTCCTCTGTTTTCGTGCTGTCACTTCCACCTGTTACATTCTAAATGACTTATTTTGGTATAAATAAAAACGACCTTGTTTTTAATATCCTTATTTGTACCGAAGTAACTTTACTTGTGCGATGATTGTGAACCAGCAAATGTTTGTTCATTTTTGCTATCTCTTCATGTTTACTTGATGCTACTTTTATCTAATCTGTGTTATTGTTTACTTGGAGATTCCGTCGTAGCCAAATATAAAAGAAAAACCCAACATATTCTGACTTTTAGTGTCAAGGATGCATTTATTCTTTATAAAAAGAGATGCAGAATAAGTTAAATGCTATGTTGAGTTCCCTCACAAAAGTATGGATTCTTCTTATGTCTCCGATTGCACCCACATTTTCAGCTAAAGTCTCTACCTTCTAAAAGTGTTTTGCATCCATGACTTATTTTGTAATAAATAGAAAGTCTGCAGGGAAATTTTAATATGTTTTTCTCCTCTCTCTCCCTCCTGCAGATCATCCTGAAGTGAGCATCAGAAAGGGAACAGAGTGTCTAGAAGCTGCACTAGGAAACACAAAACCGCCCCTGTGTAAATACTACCTGACCTCTGCCATGGAGGTGCAGCAACCTGCATGCTAAGAGTGTAACACTTCAATTTAACCATAAACAAACTGCAGTCAGTAATGGTGTTAACAAACAAACAACAACACATAAACACAGATGTATACTGTATGTATTGCTAGAAACAAAACACTATTAAGATTTTTTTAATTAAATATTCTCATGTATTGTACACCGTACACTCATAGCAAACAGAATATAGATGTCAATTTTAACAACTCTCCCAAAACACCCACAGTTTTCCTCTTGTTCATTTCAACTCAAAAGTTTATGTAGAAAATTGAGACGCTTGATCTGCAGCGCATCAGTGTAGAAGCAGGAAAGACAGACAGAGTCATAGGACACAAAAAAAATCCCTCTTCACAATCACATTGAAGCACTTTGCAGCCAAAAAATGTGGAATGTCAGCTGTTAAGATGACATGAGAAAACACACACCCAATGTCTGCCAATGTCTTCATCGGTGGAAAAATCATCTCGCCAAAGTTATTGTCACTGGATTCAAGCAGCCACACATCAGAGCCACATCCAAATGCCTCTGGGTTCTGGGTTTTGCCATGGCACAAGCTGCTCCCATTTTGTATTGAGTTGTATTTTGTGTTCAGGAGGAGTGATGAGGTAAAGCTTGCACCTGAAATTTTGCATGCAGAGTCCTTACAGAAGTGAAGATAGGTTAAGGCAGGAGTTTTGAAAAAAGCTTCAAGGCTGTTCATATGTAGTAACCTGCGTGCACTTTTGTGCGTAACTATTAAAAAAATCAACGACAAACAAACAAAAAACCCACACATCAGTGTTTACCAGAAAATAACCTCATACATACAACAATACAATACATTAAGTCGCCATTAAATCACCTTTAAACCGCTTTGTTAGGGATCGTCTTTTTTTGTTGTTGTTACGTAAAAGTACAAACAACAACGAATGTTCCCCTGTTTGACACCACGATATTTTGCGATTAGCGTGGAGATTAGCTGTCCTCCTCTTTGTTGTTTTGACGAGTCTCACCATTAGATGTCGCAAATTCTTTTGATATAAAGTTACAAATCAGACATTTTTGCAATCATCACAGACACATTTTATCAGGAGCGTCCCAGCAAAACCTTGCTTTGTTTGCTTGCTTTGCGAACACATCAAGCCCAGGTCCGTCTAATTCTTCTTTCATAGTCTTCTTTCCTTTAAGTGAGGTCGAACTGGGATTTTGTTCACTTAGAGATTAGCTTTATCAACGTAGCTTTTGGATGCTACATCTGAGCAGCCTACCAACAGCTTGGTTTTTGCCAAGGCCTTATCAATGAGAGCTTTTTGGTTTTCATACCAAGAGGAAAAAGCCTTGTGTGAATGTATGCACGTGTTCGTGTGTTTTTTACGGATCTGGAGGCTGAAGGTCTGCCGGCAGACTGAAACTCTTTAGTGAGGTCTATGACAACACCAGGTCTGGGAGGAGAGGCTGAAGGATCTAAGTGCTAAACAAAATTTAAAAAGGTGCATTTGACGAAGGATCGTCATGAAACTAAAAACGAAGACTTGAACTTGGACTGGAGGGCTATCTGTGACCGTGGTTGTCCTGTCCAACCCTTCTATCACCGATAATCCTGTTCCATTTTTAGATGAAAAAGAAAACTGTAGAAGTGCCTAAATAATATAATAGGACACAATCATCTCTCTCACACACATACACACACACACACACACACACACCTCATGTCGCTGTCAGATGGTGGACTCTTTGAGAAGGACAGTGGATTTCGGGAATTACTACTGGAGAATTGTTTTTCCCAGTAGTTGCTTAGTAATATCTTCATCGAGGACTTTATTAGAAACAAAAAAAAAAAAAAACTAAGAAAAAGGACAGAGAACAAATCAGAAACTAGCTTTGTAGAATGTTCTGGTGACCCTCATTGTTCTTACCAGGGTTTGAGTTGTTTACATGAGGAACCTGAGTTTGGAAGAAAAACTAAAACCTGTAAACGGTGTGTGTAAAGAGTTTATATTCATAGAGTTTTTAGAGATGTTTTCAGAGTTATTTCAAAAATTCTGTTCTGTTTTTTCTCTTGAATTTGTCAGAAGAGCCCACCTCCACCCATCCCACCATAATCATCTTTCATTTATCAGTTCCAACATCTATATCCCAGGGTGTGTTGGCATTTGCTGTGGACCGAGACAGTCGAGCAATGTCTATTGTCTTTATTGTTTTTAAGAAATTAAATTTCTCTAAGTATGTTTTCAGGATCATCTCCAACTCTAATTTCTACTGAGTGACTTCCACTCACACTAAACCTTAGCAGCATCAACTTCTTCTCAGTCCGAAACTGATTCAAAACCCTTAAATAATCAACTCATCCTCGACCTGAATTTTTCTTCAAAGGCTTGGAATTGGGCGACATAACACAGTGACTTAATAAATAATCATTGTCCCCGCGGCATCATCACAGGCTAGGATCTTAAAACTGGACCTGTAACTATACTTCACCATGGTTGAAGCAAATCAAACCATTGAAGGAGACATTTTCAGCTCTGGTCCCATCCACACCACAAATGTAGACACACCCTAAAATCTGATTTATTGTTTTTTATTCTCATCTAACCACATGGTGCTCTAATAACATCCGATAATCCACTGTCAGACCTTTTTTTATTGCACCACCCTCTGGTTTTACACTGCATTTGTTTGGATTTGTTTACCATATTCATGGCAGGTGGTTTAAAAGAAAAAAAAAGACAAATTTTACACTTTTGTTGTAATTTATCTTGCGTTACTTAAAGTTTTAGTCAGAGACAATGTTGTAAATTCTATCTTAAAATGAATGTAATTTATTGAACTGTGCTTCGTTCTGCACGGTTTTGGTCATTTCAAGGTCTAACCTGTCAGGTCAGCAGATGAATGAGTGAAAGAATAGATGAGTGAATGAATAAATTAGTGAGCAGCCTGGTTAGAAAGCTGTACGTCTTGCCCTTTCGTCTATAAGAGGAAGAAAATGGAGGACAAGTAGATGGCGCTGGTGTTGCAGTAATTAGCATTACTGTAGAGTTGCCTGTGTTGTTGGAATTTTAAAGAAAAAAATAGATGTTTATTGTACAGAAGACATTTTACCAAAAAAAAAAGAAGAAGAAGAGATGACATTTTCCAAAATAAGATGTACTTTTCACTCTAGTCAAATAGTATTTGGTAACAATGTTACATTGTTGCGTTGACTAAAGTTGGGTATTTTTGTAAATGACATGGTTCAGTTGATTTTTACTTTGTTTCTTTGTGTTACTATTATCATTATTATTGTTATTATTTTGCTAGAACGACTAAACACAGAGGAGTTCTGGGAAAACATTTCTTATTCCCCGCCACAAGGACCTGATATTTTCATTAGTTAACCACAGCCTCTGTAGAGCTGTGACTGTGACACGTACATAGATTTAAACTCAATGTTACACATAGATTATATATATATATATATATATGATTATATATGTAAAGAATTTAAATATCTATAAATTAATAAGACCTTAAGTTGACCTGTACAGCTCCTCCCCTGACGATGAGCCTTTAGGTTCCACTTTTAGACAATTTCATTCTTTACGTATCGCTAGAATTAGGGAATTGCACTTTTCGTATTGTGTTGAAGTTGATTTTGTTTTGTTTCTGGTTTTGAAAACGTGTTTATTAGTCACATTGAAAAACCACAGAATTTTACCATGTTGCATGAAAATTAAGACATTTTCCTTTTCTCTTCCAACCACATAACCAACTGAATGTTTCTGCACACGTCCTATGATGCTTTAGTGCACAGAATCAACCTCAGTGCTTTTAGTAATGTGGCAGCAATGACTGACTGATGGCCTCAACAGTTCGTCGACAGAGCAAGAGCAGATTCCAAACTATTTGCCTTATCATAAGTCCATTGTGCTTAAAGGGATAGTTCATAGAGGTTTTTGTGTCTCTGTGTGTTTGGATATCTGAAGATACTGCCACCTAGATGGGACTCGTTAACAACAACATCCTGACTGGAAACCTAATAGAGCCCGATGTCACCAAAACCAAAGGCACCAAAATTAGTGAAATTGGTAACATAACATTTTTGATCAAGCTTTACTGGCTCTAGTAGGTTGATCTGTGTATAAGATTTTGGAAAAATTCTTCATTTCAATTTAACCTCCTTGACATAATGTTACCAAATGACACAACAGTAGATCAGCAGACCCTGGTTTTCCATGAGTTTAAAATACTAATATCACCAGGAGACTGGCGCCACCACTGGCCATCTGGGGCTGGCTCCTATAATCACACATCTAAAACTCTTAGTCGTAATAGGTTTTTAGAAGATGTTTTGGAGTTTGTTGCTCGGGTTTTCCTGTCATCAGTCTGGTTTTATGTCTGAGTTGTATAATTATTATCTTAAAAAAAGATATATTTTAAGGCGTAGTTGTTGTTTTAATAAATCAGCAACCTGCTGTAAAACAGTGTAATTTTGCTCTATGATTAAAAGAGAGCAGATGACTAATGTTTTTGCTAAAGTTAAAATATTTCACATCCCCTGTGTCACTTGTCATTACTCATTAAACTTCACACCTAATTTTTTTTTAGTACCTACAACGTAAATGCATTATTGTTGTAAAAGTTTTTGAGGTGACTTAAATCTGTACACCTGTGCAGGTGTGTTGGTATGTAACGAAGATATTTGGAACCAGTGTCTTTTCACTGGCACAATCACACATCAAAAAAAACAAAACAAAAAAACAACTGAACTATCTCTTTAAGACTTTAAAAGCTCTTAAAATGTGTATTTCACATACTTGAACTGATGTTTGTTTCCTCAGTTTGTTTATCATTTATAGCTAAAATTATTTATTCGTCGGAACAGTATCAGGACAAAACTGCATCAAAATGAACAGTCGACCATCGTCAGCTAAAACTCTCCGGACTCTGCAGTGAAAATCCAGTCGCCCCTCACCGGCATTGTGTATGTAATCGGCTGTGTGTAGTTCAAGGCTTGGTCCAGCAGATGGCACTACAGTTGATGGAGTTTGACTGTCCGTTACCAACACATTCAAAGAATATTTGACGAAAAAAGACCCTTGTTAAGATTTATACCTTTAATGTAATCAATTCTAAATGTTGTTGTATTTTTTTTTTTGTTGTTTTTGCATATATTTTGTGGTATGTTACGTTTCTATAGTCCAACGTTTCTTTGGTTCCAGAAAGATAGTGTAAAATTTATTGAAAGATAAATAAAGAAAATTAAATTAATTTAGTGTGGGTCTGTTTTTGTTGTCACAATTTATTGTTTAGTTTTCTGAGTAATTCAGTATTTTATATTTTAATACCATGCTTCTTCTGGAGAAATAGACAATAACCGTTAACTTGAGTGATGGCTCTTTTATGTTGAAGCTAGCTTTTGGCTAACGTACATGAATTCTATTTTTTAACTATAATATTTGGTCAAACGTTTTTTGTTTTTTGTTGTTGTTGTTATGTCAGTTATTTATGGCTAATGGTTATGCATCATCTTAGCCAACCTTTAGCCACCTAGCTATACTTAGTAAACTAGTTAGCATTTGATTTATTCCACCAGTAGCAAACTGCAAGTATACTCATATATACATGTATTCATGTATACGTGTATTCAAGGGACAATATAATGATGTATGTGACTGATGATGATGTAATGACTCGCCATTATTTTTTATCAAAATATTTTTTATTTTGGAAATTCTGCTGACATTTAGTCATCGAGGCCAAAAATGATTCAAAAGTTCACAACTAAAAATCTATTTAGGTCAATAGCGATATTGTTTTTTGACACTAAAGTCAAACGAGGTGATGTACATTCCAACCCTTTGTTGTCTGGAGAAGAAGTGTCTGTGCTACACCGTGTCCTGAAAAGGTTCCAGACAGATTTATGCACAAAGAGTGAGTCAGACAAAGATGCTGAGGCCGAGGGCTGCCTTAAACAACCCCTGTCTCCTAATGGGAGCTTGACCTAGTTTCCACAGCAACTGAGGAGACTGTCTTCTCAGGAAAAATGACATC